CGTTTTAGATTCTGCTAAGCGAGTGGCATTAAACCATGAAACATTACCTTCTATATGTTGTTATACATTATTAAATTGTTCCAATGCTGTGAATTGTGCAACAATAAGTGATGATGCAACAATGTTGGCTGTGGGGATGGCTAATAGTCGAGTACGTGTTTGGAGCCTAGTACCTCAAAAACTACGTGCCATGAAAACGGCTGATCAACTGTTGGATATAGATCTGGAATCTGACGATGTAATGCATAGGATACTTGATGATAGGTCAGCTGAAACCACTCGTACATTGCTTGGACATTACGGCCCTGTATATCAAGTGTCATTTAGTCCTGATAAAACATTATTGCTGTCATGTTCAGAAGATTGTACAATTAGACTTTGGAGTTTACTATTATGGTCATGTGTAGTTGCATATAAAGGAAGTTATCATCCTGTATTTGATGTCAAGTTCAGTTTACATGGTTATTATTTTGCAACTTCTAGTAGAGACCGCACAGCGAGACTATGGGCAACAGATAATTATCAGTCATTAAGGTTGTTTAGTGGTCATTTTTCAGATGTAGATTGTTGTCAGTTTCACCCTAATTCAAATTATATAGCAACTGGGTCAAGTGACAGAACTGTACGTTTATGGGACTGTGTTACCGGAGAACAAGTACGATTAATGACTGGCCATAAAGGAGAAATTTTGACGTTGTGTTTTTCAAACGAGGGACGAATTTTAGCATCAGCTGGCAATGATTGCAATGTACTTCTATGGGACATTGCACATGGACATTTAGTTGTTATGCTTACTGGACATAAAGGACCTATTTATACAATGACCTTTAGTAGAGACAGTACTATTTTAGCAACTGGCTCTCATGATTGTAAAATAATGCTCTGGGATTATTCAAAACTTTTAGAAGATCTCTCATTAGATGATATGAATGTGCATAACCCAACTGTTATGAATAATGGTTCCAAGTACCTACTTCGAGCATTTGGTACAAAGAACTCACCCGTTATACATCTGTTTTTTTCAAGGCGAAATATTATGTTTTGTGTTTGTTCGTTCAATTCTCCTCAATCAAATTAACTGTTAATTTCCAAAAACAATTATTGTACCACACATTTATCTTTTTGTTAATTATTTAATAGTGTTATAGTTAATTACAGCATTGTATAAATAACTATTGGTTTTTCTAACTATGATTTATTTTTATATATTTTTAGTAGGTATGTGTAATATGATATATTCATCAAAATGCAGTTGTGTTCTTTAACAGTAAAATATTATTAAGAAATTATTTTTATTTCTATTTAAGTGTTATTGTTAATATGTTTAGGAACTGCATACAAAATATATGTTTTATTTTTTGAATTAATGCATACTTATGTACCAATGTACCATTAAATATAAGTTTATACATTATTAATAAAAGGCAATTTATTGAATGTTGTACAAAATGTATTATATCATATGTCATAGACTTATAAAAATGTGTACCATGCCTGTGATATATTAATAACCGAAGATAGAGGGCCTAAAACCTTTATTTTTGGTAGATCTATTTGAATACATATTACAGGGAATAACTTATAACTAGTGACTGAAGAATTAATTATTTTAGAATTATAAGCATTTCAAAAATATTTTAATCATTTTAGTACAGTACGAGTTTTATGGATCCTCTGACATCTGACATTTATTAATTCTTATTTTATACAACTTACAATAATACATTTTGAAAACCCGATTGCTAGTTAATTAAATATTATTCTATGTTCTAACTGATATTACTTGTATAAAATAAATTTAAACATCAGTACATCAGTTTTTTTATTTTTAAAAATTTAAATTTAGATTACACGCTTACACCCATTAATTATTGTGTTAAGTAATTCTGGAAAAATAGGCATGTTAATGTGCCTGTGCCCTAAATATATTAAGCTCTTAATATATTAATCCATGAGGCTGACCTGTGAATCAAAATGCACTCAAAATTATTTAATTATTTAATTTGATAAATGTTGTCAAAAATCAAACTTTAAATTCTTATAAAAAAAAACTGTATCTTATTTTTGTCGCACCGAAAGTTTAGTTTTCGATGACGGTTGAAGCTTTGGAAAGACTATGTAGCAGAAGCCTTGTATTTAATTTTCAAGCTTTTTGAGTTTTTGAAACGAATAAAATTGTATTGTTATTTATAAAAAAAAAAAACAAAAAAATTTAAAACTGTTTAAAATGTTCGTTAACAACAAAAAACGAGTTAAAATATTTTGAAAATTTTTATCAAAGATAGGAATTGATGAAATAAATTATATGGTGTAAACTTCAAGTTTCTGCGGTTATTCGTTTTTGAATTAGGTACAACAAAATAAGTAAATCGTCTCTATACCTAAATGAGAAATCGAGTGAATATCTATAATGTTGTGAAAATTAATTCATTAAAATTTAATTATTTGACTTTCCGGTAGAGATTTTTTTTGATAATGGTAGATAAACTTATGAGGAACCTTGTATTAAATTTTCAGATCTTAAATTTAAACAGTACATTTTTTATGAATTTCTAACTCAAAATAATTTTCACATTTCGTGATTTTTACGGCTTTTGTAAAAATTTGAACTTTAAATGCTTATAAAAAAAAATTGAGACTATTTTTTTTTGTATACTTTTCAACTGTCATTGCAACAACATATTAGGAGCCTTACATTAAATTTTCAAGCTTTTAGACCTACGGACATTTGTTTTAGAGTTAAACCAAAAACAGACTTTGGGGGGGGGGGGGGATAAGCAACTCGATTTCTCCACATGAATTATATGTCTATCATAGGACATAGGCGCAAATTGACGTACCTTATTGTTCTGTGCTATTATAGGTCAATTTTTTTTATTACCATAGATAAGTATAGGTAGGTATTGTAAGATATAAAATATGTCTTATACCTAGAATGACATACCGTCTCCGCTCAGAATCGTTTTTCTTATCCACTAATATTATATCATTGAATTCAAATTTAATACCATCCATTATACAGTGACCCACTTGTAACCTACTTTTTTTGAAATGAGAATCCCCATTTTTTTGGTTAAAGGTAAAAAAACTTCCAAGGAATCTTGAATTCAACCTAGCTTTTTTTGAAATGAGAATCCCCATTTTTTTGGTTAAAGGTAAAAAAACTTCCAAGGAATCTTGAATTCAATTTTAAAAACAAATTTTTTGGAATTTCTAACTTAAAATAATTTGCAAAATTTCGTGATTTTGACTCATAAGAAATATTGTAAATTTAGGTATGATCAAATAAAGACGCACAAAAAAAAATTTTAAAGAAACATTACTCATTGTAAAATAATGTAGTTATAATGTAGTTTTTGTTACGCTTGCCATTCCCCTATAATATTACATTTTTATCTGACAATCGATATAATATTATATATATTCATACTACAGACATAATTCTTTTAAAATATTTTGAATCTTTTTGAGTAATTTAAAGTCGATTGAAATTTTTTATTTTCTATAAATATCGACAAAAAAATTTTCTCTGGGTCTAAAATCTTGTCAATTTTATACAAGGTTCCTCCTAATAGTTTTTATAACGGCAGTTCAAAATATTAAAGATACACAAGTATAACAAAAAGTACATTTCTTGTTTAAAAGTTCAAATGTTGACAAAATTCTATAAAAGCGCGAAAAATGTTTTTGATTTTGGTTGAAAAATTATAAAATGATCAGTTTTAAATAGTTTACATAGATAGATAATTATAAACAAGATTTCTCATAAATAGTGCTAGTGGCAACGAACATCGAACTCAATCCCATATCCACAAATACAACTCGAATTCGTCCTACTACCATTGATTATAAATACCTACTGCGTGACGCAGAATATATATTATGTAGTCGGAATAATTTAATTTGGAATATCAATACAAAATATATTGGTTAATGGTTGAGAAAAATTAATAAATAGTTTATATTCGTTATTATATTTATTATTATTATTATATATTATTGGAATCCAATGTCATAAAAATTTTAACTTTAATTATTGCTCAGTCATAAAGAATTATTTTTTATTGTAACTTTAGGCTTAAGCTTTTTTTTTAATTTCTAGTTAATATTGTATATGTTTTTGATATTTTTTATTTGACGAAAACAATTGTACCGTATTAAATTTTTAAGGTTATTAATCAAAACAACAATGTAATCATAGATTTAAAAAAAAAAAATAGAAACTAGACAATTAAAAATAGCTATTTCTAAATACGTACCAAGCAGTTTTATTTTTTCCGAGTTAAAACAAAAACAATTTGGCCAAAAACTGGTTTTACATAAAAATTTACTATTTATCCAATTTGTTTTTGTTTATCCTGATTATTTTAAAAATCAATGGGAATTTTTACTTTTGACACCTCCCAAAGTACTAACTTAATTACATTTACTACTATAGACATTACTCATTAGAAACCTCCATCAAAGTTAAATTTCTATGATGTGGCTTATTTTTATTTGGTGGGTTCACAATGAAACAAAATAATATAATATCACAGAATAGATACAATTTAATCTATTCTGGGATAAATGATAATACTATAAGTTTATAGTTTTACACTTACCGATTAATTTTTAAAATGGGTAGGTATTTAGTATTTACCAATTTTTTTCCTAGCACCCATTATATTTATACACTTACCTATTAGTAATTTTACCTTATATCATTTAATGTGCAATTAAATTCTGCTGTTGGCAAATTAACAAGTACCTAAAATCGATATGTCATATTTTGATAAACATGTTCATTGATCATAATAAAGTATTTTAAATGTACGAGAGAAGAATTGGAAAATGAGTAGTTAAATAACTATACAGGCATAATAGGCATATAAATCATTATTTATTTTTAATTTTAATTAATTAAAAACTTAAAATATATAAGTATAGGTTCAATTTTTTTTTTGTTTGAATGAAGTAAAATCATTAGAAACAATTAAATGTACACATATTAATTAAAATTAATTTATGGCGAGTGCATCCATTTCTTGTGTGAACTGAGTTTGGAGGTTTGATAGTTTATTTTTAAGAGCAGCAACTCCCATTAGAACAATATTTTCAGGCTTTAATGATCCACAGCTTTCTACATTGAAGAAAAACTTATTTGGTTTTGCTCTCCAGTTGTATAGTCCTTCGTGCTGATCTTCATTAAGTTCTGAATATTCACTTTTAGGCCATTCATCTGGCTTTGGGAACAATGTGTGTCGCATTGTGTTGTCTGGGTCATATTCAAAGCTTACACCTGTAGTAGGATTCCATTTAGCATGCTCCTTGCCAAATCCCTTTTTAGCGAATGCTCTTATTTTTAATTCTTGTCCTTTACGCAATTTAATAATAAGTATATCATCTTTTTCACCATATTCATTAATATCGCTATCTTGGTTCCTTGAAGTAACTGGCACTACGCGTGGATTATTGCTCACCAAATCTGCAGTAGTTACGTGTCTTGTCATCTCTTCTGAACATTTGACATGTAAGTTGAATTCTACACTGCAGTCGTGACAGAAGTCTGAGCATGTGCAATCTCTGGAGTACTGAAGGCGATCGACTATCTCATCGGATGTCAATGGTATAAGACCAATACGGGACGCTATAAACTCGTCACTTAACACTGTAGAATTACAATCCAGCTGGACCCAATCAATGGCTAATGTCGGTGTTTCAGCGATGAAAACTCTACGTAAACTATTCGCAACACTAAGATCAGTGTCTTCAATTTGAAATTTAATTGAGTCAGTAGTCAGTTCAGATATATGTACGGAAGGTTGATTAGCATACGGCATGATTATTATTTTTTTTTAAACACTGATTCACTAGTGGAAAATAATATTATGTACACGGCATAGAAATACCATAAATAACAAAATATTAAATATTGTTATCTCAAGTCTTAAACTGTCAACAACTCTCAACCATCGAAGTAATCAAGTATTCAAGTAACAGCAAGTAAGTACAAAGCAAACCAAAAAATACGACCACGGTTGTAAACGTAAACAGTAAACTTGTAAATAATAATAATTTCAATTTTAAGGTTATGTTTTTAATAAATATATTATCAATTTTTCACGTTGTGTTCGTGACTTGTGATTAGAATACTACAGTATTCTGATTTCTGGAATATCCATAGATAAACCCGGAAGCCTGAATCACAAACGGTAAAAGCATAAAAAGCAAACAAATTCGTGACTTTTAAGTACGAGTAGGAAGTCCTAAAAAATTATAATTATGGGGAAGTTAAATGTGGCCATGCTCCGTTATTTGACACGGGAAGATTTTAGAGTTTTGACTGCCGTAAGTATTATTAAATGTAAAATGTTATCTAAACATTTAAGTGAAAATATGTAGTACTGCAGTAGTCATGTTCATAATGTATGTTGTACTGAACAGATTGAAATGGGAATGAAAAACCATGAACTAGTTCCAGCTACATTGGCTGCTTCAATTGCAAATCTGCATCATGGTGGCGTACACAAAATCTTAAAGGAGCTCTGCAAACATAGGCTGTTGTCATATGAAAGAGGAAAACATTGTTAGTATATTAGTTTGTTATATTATTTTTGGCTTACAAATTTACAATAGCTACTGAGCAGGTGGTCTGGTTATTTAAAACTAGAAATGTCATTCTTTGAATAACCTCTAAAATTTTTAAAAACTTTAGTCATTAAGAATTCTTATGAAAATTATAAACTAAGTCTATAATAAAAACATAATTAACTCTCTAAACACATAAATCATTTACCTATTGTTATTTGAAACTATGTTTATTTGCCCCACTGAACATGTGTTGATACACATTTCTATATGTAAATATTTTGTAGATACGTTTTTATTTTTTTTTTTTTTAGCTTTTACAGTCCGTTTAGGACCTTCGCTGCCTCAACCACTTCTTTCCACCTATCTCTGTCTTCGCTATCTTCAATCCTTATTAATTCTTCTGAGATTTCCGTGAGATCCGTTTTCACTCTGTCCTCCCATCTCTGTCTTGGTCGTCCCCTAGGTCTTTTACCGTTTAATTTTCCAGTGAAAATATTTTTTGCAATACCGTTCGATCTCCAAATATGACCCGCCCATTCTAACCTTTTGCTTTTTAGATACGAACTTATAATGGGTTTATTGAAAATTTGGTATATTTCTTGGTTAGTTCTTCTTCTATATTCCCCATTCTCAAATACTGGGCCATATATTCGACGTAGTACTTTTCTTTCAAATATATTTAACTTCTCCTCATCTCCTTTAGTTACTGACCAGGTTTCACAGCCATACGTCAAGACCGGTCGTAAAAAACTGGAATATAAATTTTCTTTTGACTTCCTGGACAAAAATTTCGACTTAAACAATTTCGCAAGTGCATAATATCCCTTGTTTCCTGATGCAATTCTCAATTTGATTTCGTTGTGCATATTGTTACGGTTGTTTATATTAGTTCCTGTAGATACGTTTATTCATCATAATTTTTTTACATTGAGATTGCGTTAGTTTTTCGAGGAGCACATGCATAGTCGTGTAGGCAGATAGATTTAAATTTTTGCAAAGTTTTTTTGTTTAAGGAGTGTAATAAAATGTAAATAAAATGTCTTAAAGATTGTATCCTTTTTTTATATAAGGAACCAGTGGCATAGACATGAATTCTGAAAGGGGGATCAAAAAAATTAATGGACATAATTAAATGGGAGGGGAAAATTGGAAAATCTCCCACCCTCTCAAAACTTTTTATGTAGTTAGTAGAATATTTAACAATAAGGAATAATGAATATAATTTAAATTGATTCAAAATTCACACCAAACACAATAATATGGAAGATTATCCACTCCATTATTCCATAAAGTCGAAACTTCTGTATTATAAAATGCTACATTATTAAATGTATAAATAAAATAAATAATAATTAAATTAACAAATCTAGTTTGGCAAAAAAAGCCAATGGGAGGGGATCTGCCCCCCAAACCCCCCTTGTATATGCCACTGTAAGGAACCAATCTTCCTCCAATCTCCCTGAAGCTGCCTAGTGAGCAAAGTACAGGGTGGGCCACGGGAATAGGGACAAAAGTTGACGGGTTTTTCTCAACGTTGAATGTGAGTAGGAAGGTCTAGTTTTGCTCATTCGATCCTTTAGATAATGCCATTTCGTTGTCACTATGGAGCAGTGGAGTGTCGTTCACCGTGTGTTTGCGTACGATGCATTTGTGAAAAACAATGAATCGATAGTTAAAATGCAGACTTCACTGCATATACTGCACACTCTACTGTCGTAGACATTCGTGCTGCTCACAATGGGAAAACAATTATGAGGTAGATAAATAGTTTTCGAACGGGGACAGTTAATAAAAAAAAAAAAAATGGTCCCAAACGTACTGTAACAACTCCTGAGAATACGGAGTCTTACCGTTTAAATGCGCGCTACACCTTAACTACCGATTCATTGTTTTTCACAAACTCGTCGTACGCAAACACATGGTGAACGACACTCCACTGCTCCATAGTGACAACAAAACGACATTATCTAATGGATCGAATGAGTTAAACTAGACCTTCCTACTCACATTCAACATTGAGAAAAACCCGTCTACTTTTGTCCCTATTCCCGTGGCCCACTCTGTAGAAGCAGCATTGGTTTTTATATTGTTCTTGCTTTTTGTTTTAGTATCATGCCACAAAACTTTGTTTTTTGTGTATTTGGAACAACAAAATTTTGTTGTTAATTCACTGTAGTATATCTGTGGTTATTAAAACAGGGATAGGCTCTCCATTTTGTCATTGTAGATAGTTGTTCACCATAAAATATCGTTTTTCCAGCATACCATTGTTTTCCCAACCAAGGACACTCTCCGGAGATATAAACTGTACCTAGGGTGCTAAAGTCAAGATTAATTATAATTTTTATTTTTTAAATGATAATAAAAATTAATATTAACTATAATAAAGGGGAGGGGAGGGATGATTCCAATGGTATCTACTGCAGGTGCCCTTATGCCCCAAAACCCAGTCCTTTTATTTTTTCCTATAATTTCTCACATTTTCTAATAGTTTTCTCTGTAACTTTTAACACTTACTGTATCTTGTTGAGATGGTTGTATGTCTACCCATCTATCAGTGCCATAAAAACCGGGTGTGCAAAGTGTGCACAGCACACAGGCCTCGGGCCTCATAATATATCGAAAGGCCTCAAAAGATCCAAAGACTAATATTAAACTAATATAAAATATATAAATTATTTATTATTGATTTGGAAACGAAACCAATGTTATTTCATTTTTAATATAGCATGGAGTCGTGATTACTGTTTTTAGATTTTAAGAGGAACGAACAAATATATTGATTTTACAAGATGTGTATAATTTTTTTCATTTCTGTCGGTCATCAACAATGGGTAGTAAAAGTATTCCGAATTTCGAGATCAGAATTTTTTCTGTTAGAAAAGTGAATCTAGTTGGTACTTTTTGGAGATCGAAACCAAAATTTTTAGTTTTAGATATTAAAAAGCGTCAATTAAAAAAAAAAAAATTGTCATTTTTACCTAAAACCAAAAATTTTATTTTTTGGTATAACTCGAAAACTAATAACCGTAGACCATTGAAGTTTTCACCAAATATTTAAATTAATATTTTCAATAAATTACATTTTGGAAAATTTTTACTTTTTTGAGTTAGTTATAACTTATAGCCTTGAGAAATTGTTTTAAAATTATAGATTATTTTAAATTAAACATTTTTAGATTCTGAGTGAAACGATGAATGTATTGATTTTTCAATGATGTGTGTTTTTTTTATTTTTTTTTAGATTTTTTAATTTATTTTTTATTTTTTTTTGTGTCTGTCATCACGTTTTAGGACAGTAAAAGTGCTTGGATTTTCTTCAACAGTAGCTTTTCTGATAGGAAAGTGAATCTAGTTGGTACTTTGGGGGGTAAAAAGTAAAAATTTCCCAATAGTTTTCACAAGCGCTTTCAATCATTGTAATTAATAAATTATAAAATGTTCAGTTTTTATAGCTAAGGATTGCAAATTTAAAACAAAGGTTCTCATAAATAGTTCATACTGTAACCAAAGTCTAAAAAATATATGAACACAGTTATTTTTTACAGACATTTTAAATCCAAATTTGGACAAAATTACATATTAAAATCAATATTAACGATCTTGGTTTTTCGTTGTAATTTAAAAATATTATTCGGGGATATATGATACCTAATGGATATTGTGATATGATTAATTTGGAATTTATTATAGGTATCTATTATAGGTCAATTTTTTTTTTAATACCATCGATAAGTATATATGTCTTATACCTAGACTGACGTACCATCTCCACTCAGAATCATTCTTCTTATACAATGATATTATATCATTGAATTCAAATTTAATACCATCCATTATACCATGACCCACTTGTAACCTACAGTGCAGCAGAGCGACATTCACTTACCCACCTTTTTTTTGTTTAAGCCCGAATTTTTGTCTGCTGACTTTAAAAATTGCAAAAAAAGTTTTTGAGGTGTGTATTGAAAAACATAATAAGGGGCCTCAATATTTTGGTTTTGCACACAGGCGTCAAGTAGCCTAGTTACGGCACTGCCATCTATACTCTATTCAGTTTAAGTTGACCCATTTTCTCGAATGCATACTGAGCCGCCGGAACATTCAGACCCCCAGAGTAGGCGACCAGCAGTCTGTGATTAGTCAGCGGCGTTCGGTAGTGCTTGTCATAGTAGGTAGCTGCTACTGGCAAAGATCACCACTAGCTCTCCAAAGACGGGCCAGCCTGCGCGGCCTTGACCAGTTTTCGTCTGACGAGTGGGTCAACTTAAACTGAATGGAGTTTATATTGGTTTTTATTTTATACCTAGGGATTTATTGATTTTAATTATGGCACCTATTCTACCCATTATTTTCTTTGGTTAATGTTTTCCTCAAAACAACCCTGCATAAATTAAACCAATCTAAAATTTTTGATTTACTTCAATTGGTTAAAGTATGACTAGTAAACGAATTGACAATTCATGCACCCAAAACAGCACAGGTTTCATTATTTCCGTTTGACTTAATTAACTGTTGCATTTACCATTTAAAATCGGTTAAAGTGTTTCGGTGAAAATATTATTTAATTTTCTTATAGAGCAATAAGTATAGATGTTAAGTTATAATTTTCTTTTAGAATTGTATTTTTTCTTTTTTTTAGCATAAATGGCGTTTTTATTTTTATATGATAAAGGTAATAATGTCTGTCTATTTTGTATACATTTTACACTCATTAATTTTTCTTAAATTATAAATAATGTTTTTATAGATATTACATTTTAGAAACCTTGTTTACCGAATAATTGACACAAAAAATTACAATTATAATTTACTTAATACATGGTACATATTCATCATACAACACACTAACAGACTTTAATGGACTGTTAAAGTGCCTATAGTATATGTTTGCTATTTTATTTTAACAGCTTTCAATTTGTTATAGACTAAAGCTAACGTGCTCACAATAACCAATATTAATAACCTTATCTAGGTACAATTGTTGGGAATTTAATTATATAAAATAATATTATTTGTAGGTCACATATTTGACCATAACTATTTATCCAGTAGGTCAATTTCAATTGTAGGTCACATATTATACATAAAAAATAATATTTATGAAGTTAATTAAACAAAAATTATATTTTTAATTTTTGTTATTTAGATGATGGTTATAGGTTAACTAATACTGGATATGACTATTTGGCACTGAAAACACTTACTTCGCGTCAACTTATATCATCATTTGGTAATCAGATTGGTGTTGGTAAAGAATCTAACATTTATGTTGTTGCTGATCCTGAAGATAAACCAATATGTTTAAAATTACATAGGTATTCTTGAATATTTAACTTTCATAATTTAAAATGTGAATTTATGTTACCTATACATTTCTTTTTCATTGTGTAGATTGGGAAGGACATGTTTTCGTAATTTAAAAGAAAAACGGGATTATCATGCACATCGTCACAAGGCTGGCTGGCTGTATTTGTCAAGAATTTCAGCTACAAAAGAATATGCTTACATGGAGGCACTATCAAAAAGAGATTTTCCTGTTCCGAAACCCATTGATATCAATCGACACTGTGTGCTTATGGAATTAGTAAATGGACATCCTTTGTGAGTATTTTTCTTTTGTATACTTAAATATTAGGAAACTTACTAATTTTTTTTTTAATTATTTAGATCTCGTCTTTATGAAGTTGATAATGTAGAAAATTTGTATGATGATCTCATGAATTTAATTGTTCGTTTTGCTCAACATGGAGTTATACATGGTGATTTCAATGAATTTAATATAATGATTAATGATGAAGAAAAACCCATCGTTATTGATTTTCCACAAATGGTGTCAGTTACTCATGCTAATGCCGAAATGTGAGTATATAAAGTATTTCCCCATCATGTATTGTACATTGAAATTCACTCTGATCAAACCGGTGTGAAAAAAACCCACCAATATGATAATATATATCAATATAGACTCACACAATCGAACAAATGTTTGGAAAAAACAGTCCAATTATTAGTTATTACTTAATTTCTTGTTTAACCTTATATTTGTTGATATTTAAACAAAAATGTGTTAAAATCTAGAAAATTTAAATTAAATTTCTTATTTTTTTAATTCTAGGTATTTTGACAGAGATGTTAAATGCATCAGAGCATTTTTTAAAAAGAGATTTAACTATGAAAGCCACTTGTATCCAATATTTGAAGATATTGTGTAAGTGATGTTTAATACCAAATCATAATTATTTTATGTGGAATATATTTTCTAATTACTTTGCATTTATAATTTTAATATTAATAGTCGAGAAGAATTTTTAGACGTCGAAGTGTCAGCTAGTGGTTTTACAAAAAATATGGACCAATTTTTATTACACGAATTGGGTATGGTCGATAGTATAGAAGAAGGATCAGGAGAAGAAAGTGATTTTTATGAAAATGAAAAAGATGAAGTAGAACATTTAGCAGAACGAGTGGCTGAACTAATGAAAGAAGAGTCTTCTGAGGTTCTTGGCAACTCTACTGTCCCACCAGCTAAAGAAATGTCAGATAACGCAAAATCAGAATCTGATGAATATGTATCATTAAGTGAAAATGATGATTGTGAAAGTGTTGCATCAAAAGTATGTTATTCAGATATACATAGTGTTAGAAGTATGTCAACAGCTACAACTATACCACCAGAAGTAATTAGAGACAGAGTGAAAAAAGCATTAGCAAAAAGAGAAAGGGCAGCAGTGAGACATAGAAATCTTGCCAAAGGTGAAGCGAGTGCTGTAAATCGACAAAGAAGAGATAATAAAGATACTATTAAAGATAGTTTTGGAATATGGGGTTAAATATCTTGGCATGTACAATTTAGAACTATGCTATAGAGTATAATATAATTATATGTATATTATATAATAACATAATATTTTTTGTGCTTTTTGTTTTGGATCTTAATTGTTTACCATTGAAAATAAAAACAACACCATTTTAATTAAAACTATATTAAAAGTATTTTACATAAGTTAAGTATATAAATGTTCACATCCAAGAATAAAAAATAAAAAATTCAAAATTGAATTTTTGCATAGAAATTAATTTACTTAAAAGTAGCAACGTTGCAATGGTAAAACTGTATTTTAAAATAAAATTAATTCTTACAGTAATTATTTATAATTTTGATCATTTTTATGACAAATATCCATTACAATAATTAACAAAAAATGTTTAAAACTGTATTTATTGAATAGCTTATCAAAATATTTCAAATTAAAACAAACTTAAATTGCAAAAATATCATGCATTAAACAATGATAAAAGTTATAAGTATATTTAAATTTAAAATAATTTATTGATCAAGATATATAGATCTATATATCAGATTAATTTTTTTTTTATTGATATTTATTTTGCTTTGTCAATATGGCCATTTGCGCTACATAAATGTATTATTGTATTATATTATATATCATTGTACAAATTAGTATGTTATTATACATAGTTCAGTATACATTTTTATAATTTAAATTTGATACTGATGATCTAGAAATATAATGCTGTTTTAAAATAAAAACAGTTCCAACCAGAAATTGTATTTATTTTAAAAATATTTCAATTAAAGCTTGTTTTATAGCAAATGTAATGTTATTTACCTAAATGAAATATTTTGATATTAAGAATTCTTTTGCGAGTTGAATTTCTGTCAAATTTAATCACATGGAAAATAAAAATACAATTTAACATCTTTAAGCTAAGTATCTTGGTTTTGACACTATACATTACTAAACTTAATATTTAATTGGGAAACAAATCAATTACATTAAAAAAATTATTATTAACTATTTATAATATTATAATATATAAAGTTGCAAACTTAATAATATATTTCAAAATTGTTACATAAATTACAATAATTTTATTCAATGTCTGTTAATGTTAATTTTATACAATTCTGTCTATTATTTAAAGTTAACAAATTCCTCAATAAATTTACAGCATATTATAGAAACTATACGCACTGTAATAATTAATATCTTATCATTTAGAGGTAAGTAAAATTAAAATGTAATTGGTAAATCAATGTTGAATTGCGATAATTCAAATAAAATAATTTTTGTATAATTTCATATATAATATGAAATATATTATTAATTCAATTATTACAATTTTGTTTTTATCTCTTTGGGTTTCAACTATCAAAATTCTACTACATTAGAACAAGTGGTGGTTACTGTTTAGCAAGTATGCTTGCTATTTGCGGTGCCATGGTGGGGTAATAGGAATTTCATTACCTTCCAAAAAAGTAGTGTTTATACTAATAGTCAATCATCTGGTAAATATGTAAAACAATACAAATATTCAATGAAAAGTGTGTCATTATCTTATATCTAATAGGTATGGGACATGAATTGTTAACATGTGTTAATTAATATTTGGTAGAATTTTAATGAAACTCCTCAATGATAATATGCTGAAAAAATATTAACATCTCTATAATAACTATACATAAAAAATACTGACTTAATGTTTAGGTAGGTACACTACGTCATGTGGTTCAAATAATGGCTAAAGACTAAAATTAATTTTGATGTGATATAATTTAAACGGCTGGATAAAATAAAATAATTTTTTTTTTACACACATTTTTTAAACCTTTGAGATTAAGTATACAATATGATAACCTATATACAATAACCTATTACCCATGAGTTGTATCATCTTCCACAAAGTCATGTGCATCCTCCCTGGTAACACATTCCACATGGCTTACTTTATTACGGAACTTAACACCATAAAACTTATGCGCATGTTGTAGCAATTCTGGCCTAAACGTTGTAGTAATGAACTGTGCTTCTGAAGACATTTCATGTATCATATCGGCAACTGATTTCCTGTGTTGAGGATCTAGTGCTTGATCAATTTCATCAAACAAGTAAAACGGGGCAGGGTCACACTTTTGAATAGCAAATATTAAACCTAACGCTACAAGAGATTTTTGACCCCCTGATAGTTGATTCATTTCTCGCATTTCACCTCCTTGTCCAACAAATGACACTTTGATCATGACACCAGAATAGTTACCAACACTGGTCTCGTCTCGCATATTAATTGTTGTTGATTCTTCACCTCCAACAGTTTTCATGACTAGTTTTGCATGGCCAGCAGGTACAAGTTTAGAAAATACATAAGAAAAATACTTGGATACTTGTTTGAATGTTGATTGTATTGCATCACATTTCCGTTGTTCTAAGACATTCATAAGTTGTTCTATTTTATCATAACCACGGTCAAGTTCTTGTTTTCTTGAAACTAGTTTTTCCTTTTGTTCTGAAAAATTTATAAACTGATCCAACGCTTTTTTATTGACATGACTAAACCGTTTTAAGTGACTATTAGCTTTTTCTAACTCTTTAAATAAATTTTTTGAAGAATAAGACATATATTTTGTAACCAGATCTGTATTGGGTAAAGCTCCAAGATCGTTGATTTTAGATTCCGACTCTTCTAATTTTTTACGTAACATTTCTTGCTTAGAAGTTACTTTACAAAGATCTTTAGATTCGTTTTCAAGTTTATCCTGAGCATCTTTTTCTTGAATTTTCCATTTGTCCAATTCTTCTTGGCATTTTTTTTGCCTCTTAACAGCTTCTTGTACTTTGGTATCGATGTTTTTCATATCTACATTAATAGTGTCTAATTTTTTTTCTATAGCATTTAATTCTAACCTACTACTTTCCAATGTACGTTTACGTTCTTCAACAGATATTTCTTGTAATGCTTGTAACAATTCATCTCTACGACGAATCAAATTGTTAGTTAATAGATTTTCTAATTTATTCTTGTCTGCTTCTAATTTCATACGCATTGCAAATGCAGTTTTATTCTCTTGTGTCAATTGTTTTATGTCATTATTAAGTTTATCCATTTCTTTTTGATCAGTGACAGATAATTGTGCCATAAGTTCTTGGTGTAGTTCAGATTCAAGACCTGATCTTGTAGTTTGCATTGCTTCTAAATTTGAAGAGGCAGTTACAAGTAATCTTTCTTTTGTCACCCTATATCTTTCAATTCCAACCATTTCTTCTTTAATAAGTCTGATATCCCCTTTTAATTTGTCAAAATTTCCCTTAGCTTTACTGTTCTTGGTTTCAGTTTTTTGCATATCCGCCATGACCACGTTAACATTCCCTTCAACGTCATTTAACTGTGTTCTAAGTACAGTCAACTGTTCTTCCGATTCTTTTATTTGAGACATTAATTCATTACGTTGCTTTTGGATTTCTAATTTAGAACGGACATTTTTAAAATAACCTCCAGTAAGCGTACCACTTGATGATACTTGATCTCCGTCAATTGTAATACAATCTAACATACTTTGCTTAGATATACTCGTAGCTATTTCTAAATTCCGACATATCAAAGTCTTGCCAAAAATAAATCTCATCGCTTTATCTAAATGAGATTCATAATTCAATTTGTTGACCATTGGAATGGCATCTTTGGATTGTGGGTATTTTATTGTCCTGGCAGTTAATCTATTAAGCGGCATAAATGTTACTTCCCCAGGTAAATTCTGATTATTTATTTCTTTTAAGATTTGTGTTCCAATCTTATCAGAATCAACAATATGAAAAAACATTCTTCCACCAGCAGTCACTTCAACAGCCGTCTGTATGCTTTCATCACAATCAAAATTTTCAATTACTTGGCCATAGTATTGTTTAGCAAGATTGGCTTGAGATCCTCCACGTTCTTTGAAAATTTCTAAGACCTTACGCACACTATCTCTTCCATTTAAAATTGCTTTACCAGCCATACTTCGAAGCAACTGATCAGCTTTAGCTAATTCATCTTTTAATGTTGAATAAGTTTGTTGCAATGAACTTTCTTTACGCCACAATTCATTTCTTTGACTTTGATATTGGTCCTTGTTTTTTTTTAGTTCATAGTATCGTTTATTATACTCGTCGATCGCAGTCCTTTGTTTTTCTAATTCAGTTGAGTTACTATGCACCAAGTTCTCAAGTTCTAATAAACGTTCAGCATCTTTTTTTAAATCTTCTGTTAATTTTTCTTTATGTTCACTTTTATCTTTAATTTGCTTGGTTAAAGATTTTAATTCTTTTTGAATCCATTGGTCTCTGTCTTCCTTGGATGCAAATTGACTTCCACGTCCTTGTTTAGCATACAATTCCTTACGCTTCTGTTCTTTAAGTCCAAGTTCTCTTGTACAACCTTCTTCTTTTTTCTTTTGAGCTTCATATTTAGGCCTTATTTCTTGCAAGTCTGCTTCTTTTGTTTTAATAGTTTCTTGTAACTTTTCCAACTCTCTGACAGCCCTTTCTCTAGAGTTATTATCACCTTGCACTTCATCAGTAAGATCTTTAATTGTAAAATCTAATTTGGTTTTTTGCTTAATCAATTCTTGTTGTTCTAAATTTAGAGTATCTTTGTCTTCTTTAACACTATGTACTAGGCGTTTGGCATCACGTAAGTGTTTAGTAGATTTTTTAGTTTCGTGTGCTGCTTCTTTTACTTTTGCAGTAAGACGTTTTTGTTCTTCATCAACATTACTCATCCGGCTATCTAATTCTTCTAATTTTCTTTGAGTTTCTTTTAGTTCTCTATCATGAATACAATACTCCAAAGTTCTTCTTTTTTTATCCCATACTTGATACTCTTTTAACTCTTCCTTTTCCTCCTCCAATGTGCTTAAACGATCTTCAATAGTTTTTATAAATTCTACTATTTTATCTAATTTTGTCTGAGTGTCTTTTAATATCTCAATTGATTCTTCTTTTCGTTCATCATACACTCGAGTGCCAGCTACTTCTCTCAATAATTTGAGTCT